CTTATTGGAGGCTTGTCTGTGCTGCGAGTTTGCTCTTTTGATTTGTATTTTTTTTTCTCTCTATTGAATATATACTGTATCCACAATATATAGTTTTTTTTTTTTCTTTCCTCATGCAGGCTTTTAAGTAGTGGGACATATAAAGGCCGCTATGACTTGACTACATGTCTTTGTATTTGATCAAATCGGTCTAAAATGTGAGGGGGAAAAAGATGTATCATGGAAAATTCGGAGAGTAATTGTAGGGGGAAAAAACAATTTCATAAAAAAGAAAACTAAAAAAAAATCGAAAACTAAAAAGCTTTTTCAATCTTACTAATATTTGCAAAACAAAAAAAAAAGAGAAAAACTTTCTTTGGGGAAAATATTTGTGCAGCTGGTAATTAAAAAAAAAATGCTTTTTTGAACAATAAAAATAAAAACATGTTTCGTGCTGAGATAGACGAGCTATATGTATTTGTTTGACATTGAAGTAAGAAACAAACTAACTTTCTGAAGCAAGGTTTTAAGCGTGTCTTTCGACGAAGCAGAACTGGGTATACTGAAGGGGGGAAGGAAGCTTGTTTGCCACGCTTCCAACTGAGTATTGTGAAAATTCTTTTGCCTGACTGTGCAAAATGATAACATGTACTTTAGTGAAAGGGATTAATTTTATTTTAAACTGCTGATTAATCAAAGACAGTCTGTTTAAAATATATTCGATTAGAAATATTCCATTGTTTTTATAGGGGGGTGGGGGTAATTCTTGATTCCAGTTTGTAAATAACAGGATTTGTTTTTTTTCTTGGGCAGATTACTTTCTGTTCTGTACTGGGCGCATTCAATGTGGTGCCTGTTTGTTACTGTGAAATGTTTAATTGCCTAACTTTTTTCCATTCGTCTTGAAATGTGTAACAACGTATTCAAAGCCAGGTTACATCATTTTTATTCCAGTCTGGTATTAACCTGATGATATCCCACTGTCTTGTTTTGAATAAGTTCTATCAATGATTTTGTGAAATTTTTTTTTTTTTTTTTTTGGCAAATGTTTTAACTTAAAAAGTAAATTTAAAAGTGTCATTAGGCTGCCGAGTAGATTTCTCGCTCTGTTGCGATACAGTTCGCTTTTTTCAAGCACTTTTTTTTTTCTTGCAAAGTTAGATTGAGTTTGTGCACCACAAGTTTGTGAATTTTTTTGTTTGTTTAATAATTTTGTACAACGTACAGGAAATTGTATTTATATTTCCACGTTATTCGATGTGCATATACATTTGAATCTGCTGTTACTTTTTCATCATTACTTTGTTGTCTATGAGTTTCAGAAGGAAGCAAAAAAAATATGCACTTCCTCACATTGTTCATATTTTGAGACCTTTTTTTTTTTTGTTTTCCTCCGAAATAAAAGTCCCTGAATATAAACTGTGTCTAGTGTGCTAGTGTTATTTCCATGTACATGTACCCTGTAGGTCCACACTATCTTCATGATAAATACATGGTTGTGATTTCTCTTGTGTGATGCCCAATGTTTTGTAAAAATCTGATCTCAAATTGGTCGTTTACCGTTTCACGCATTTACTTTATAAAGATAATGGACTACCAGTAGTGTTAATCATAAGTGGATAGCCATGAAACAATGTGTAGGGGTCCCAGTGGCAGTCGCCTGTGTGTATTCGGATGAAAATTTCTATTGAATGATGCGTGTAATTGTAAGGGTTACTTAGCCTGACAAGTTGGCATAGTCCAGGGTGCCAACTTGTCGGGCTAATGGTTACTATACTTGTGAAAGAGCATTCATTTTGAAATCAACTCATTATGGGTTGCCCTCTGTATCAAATTTGAATACAGTTTGTAAAACTAAAGTGCATTCGAGAAGCTGGTAGACTTCAAAACAAAAAATGGCCACCATTTGGAAATTGAGTTGAATCGCCTCTGAAACAAAATGACATGCATCAGCAACGCACCATGAGGGGGATTGAACATGCCGAGTTGGAATGAAATTGACATGGTAAAATGTTTGCCAGTAGGTCAAATCAACAAAAACATCGACGTTGTTTTTGAACAAATTGCAATCTTTTACACATCCTGAATTTAGACCAGGAAGTCAAACGTTTACTACAGTTCCACCAATCTGTTGGTACCCAATGTAGTTCATATCACAGCATCAAAATCCACTGAACGTGACGTTTTGCTTGCTCCTTGTATCTTTTTTTTCCCCCCGACTACCGCCTTCTACGGTCATTTTAACAACAGAATCAGTTGTGCAACCTCCAGTGATGTAAAGCGCTATAACTGGCCATGATAATGAAACTGTAATAGTATTATGTTTTATTACAATGACATGTGAGCGCACAATTTCGATTGAAATACAGAATAAATAATCGACAAGTTAAATAATCGAATAAATGATGAGGGCGCTCATCAACTATATTAACGGAAAATGAAACCATTGCTAATGTGTAACATTATAAAAATAACTTCATATGGAAGAATTTGAATGAATGTTACATAGAATCTGACATTAAATACTGAATATACTGAAAGTTTAGAAAATTGATCACGAGTAATATTTAGAAAAGTCAATAAATTATGAAAAACAAGTCATTGAAAATGACACAGTCCCCGTTAAGTTCTCTTTGTGCTTGTCATATTAAAGCGGAGGGGTTGTCGCAAGCGTGTCCTTGAAACTTGAGTTCCAAGTGGCGTATACAACAGATTGTTTATTTACATGAAAACACATGTTTCGTGTCATAGTAATATGGCCAAAATAAAAACAGCCGTTATTCAGCCATCTTTGATCTGATTATGAAACACAGAGATATGTATGTGTCAAATAGGAATGAAAATGGTACATAAATTGTGGAAATATAGTAGTAAGGCCAAAAAGTCAGATGGCTGGCCATCCTTGACCAGATTTTGAAACAAATTGTCATGGACATGCATCCTAACATGTATAAAGTATGTACATGTATGTGCCAAATTTGAATGAAAACTGACAGAGCACATCCAAGATACCGCATAAAAAAACAAAAACAAGATGCCTGCCAGTCGACCATCTTTGATCCAATTGCGAAATATATCGTCATGGACATGTATCCTAACATGTATAATCTATGTACCAAGTTTGAATGACAACTGACAAAGCATGTCCAAAATACAACATTTTCAAAAAACAAGA